TTTTTTTCCAAGGAAGAACGTCAGTCACAAACATTCTTTAGATGTATTTTTTAAGCATGTAAAAATTATAAATACTCAGGCTTTACGAGCAGAGAACATATGAAATATTTTTCAGATGGATATCTCCTCGCAATCATGTTAGATGCGTGTATGACCGACCCTTGGACCACTCCATACCTATGCCTTTGTATCTTGTTAATCCCAATCATAAGGTTAGCTTTTTTTCTCGTTTTGGTATTGGACTTTCCTAATTTCATGAGTTTTAGTTCGTACCCGAGGATAAGATCACGAGTCGTTCTTTGAGTGTTTGGCGGATCGTAACCCAGTCCGTTCAAGAGAACAAGCTATTCACGGCCATACAAACTCTCATAAATGATAGTCGGAGAGTTACAGATAATGGGCAGATTGCACTAGGGCCACATTTTCCTGTGTTCAGGTAACTCAATCTTTATTGTTTTTTTCTTATTTCCTTGCCTTTTTTCAAGTAGTTGTCTATATAGCGTGTCTGTGCTAGCCTGCTTTATTTCTTATCAGCAGAACTTGATTTGGCCGAATTTTCTTGATATCTATCTATGCACTGACAGCTACGATTACTCACATGTGAGATTACCCCAGGTTCTTCGTAGAGCACAATATCTTTGAGGCATTTTATAAGCACGATGTTAATCTTTAATCTTTCTATATTTTGAAGATTCTGTTAGCACGCCCTTGTTTAGGGACATACTGTTTGCGAGCTTGGATGTATTTGGTCGCAATCTGGTGCGAGACAGTCTCGACATGCAGTATGCTGAAGAGCACAGCAAGCTGCCGCCGCGCATCATGTGCATCATGCCGCAGCAGGACAGGCCACCAACGCTTGTGCAGCGCGCCTGTCGCAAAGTGTTCCTTCCACTGGATCTCTTCTGATCTCCACGGGTTGCCATCATCAGCTGATGTGAATAGCTTGCCAGTTGCCATGCGAGATCCTACGGCTTTATCATACTGGATCTAGACATCTCTCGGTGCTGGTTCTCTTGTGATTTAACTCTTGTGAATCTCTTTACGATGCATGACTTCTGATGCAGAATTAGCCTCCCAGTTACACATTTGTCCATATAGCCAGCTAGTCAAGTAATGCCTAATAACGTGTTGAGTGTTTTCGCTTTCAAACCGCTTAGCGGGAAGCAATCCCGTGCACCTTGTGATTTAGTTCTCTGGTCTCCAAGTTGTGGTACTGTTGACGAATTCTGGTTCAAATCTGATTTTGCCTTCACTTCGTTTAGTTTCTTTCTTCTGCTTTGATCACATATTTCTCAATGATATGACCTTTCTGTGTGCACCAATTTGATTGTGATAAAACTGAGATGCATTTCTCTGATGTACACTATGCACATTTGGTTTTAAACGACCTTAATAATTCTGCATAATAAATTTTACTTTAGCGCTTTGAGTAGAAACATCTTTCTGTAATAACATTTAGACTGATCAACTCAGGGATCACTTATTGAGTGACAAAATACTATGGTTGAGCATCTAACTTGTGCAAGCGTTTGCGGTGAGGAAGCGCGAAACTCACCTGGTCCCTCATTAAAACGACCATGTATGGGTACAGAAGAGGACGCTTCAAAAAGACCTCATCTGGATGCGGTAACACCAGCAGATTCAAGTGAGTTTTTTGCAAAGTAGGCATACAGCGAGTATGGCGGTCCAGCAAGGAAGTGTAACCATATTGAAGTTTTCTTGATTTTTCCCCCCAGTTTACTGCTGATCTGTTGATGTATTTCAGTTATTGGCACTTTAAATTTGAAAGCGCCTTTCAAATTTGGCACGTGTGGGAAGGGTGAGGCAGGAGCTACAGGTCGTATCAATTGCAGTGTTGGGTGCTCTAGCAACTCCGCTCAGCGCGGGACTCTACACCTCTTCCGCGAACTTGCTCTGTAATTATCTTCAGTCGATTGAGGCTCCCCTTTCTAAGCTTGCGGTGGGAAAGTGATCAGAGAGCATACTCGCGAAAAAGGTGCAGAGTCTAGGCGAAGCGGTCGCGCGGGGGCGGAAATGCTGGAGCACCCGACTCTGCAGTTGATAAGCCGTGTACAGCACTTGGAAAACTTACCATCTGACTTTACCAAGATCCGAGAAGGGTTTAGTCTGCCAAGCTGATATCTTCAAAAGGGTGTATTATTTCTCTCCTCTTCGAACGGTAATCGTCTGACTGTGCAAGCTTGCTACGATGATCCAGTAATCCTCACATACAAAAAAAAAA